CTCAACAGCTTAAAATACAACCAGCCCTCTCCCTGCCTGCCAGCTGCTGGGGAAGAGCTAAAATTCGACCCTCCCCCAACCGGGCATGAGACCAGGGCCCAGGAGGAGAGGACAGCCGTCGGGGGCCCAACTGGCTGCTGGGAGAGGAAGCTGGGCAGCAGGAGAGGGCGGCCAGGAGAGGGGCGATACTCCCAGCAGCCGCCACACTGCGCCCAGGCCAGCCCAAGACCAAAGGACAGGAGAGACTGAGCCCTCAGAGGTAAGCTCAGCCCAAGGGGCAGCACGAGGGGCCCGACCCACCAGGGTGGGGACTGCTCCAGCTCAGGCCACCCCGACAGGATCAGTCCTCATTTCCCATTTCCTGGCCCCAAATCCTGGGGCCCAGAGGCCATCTTTACCCCAAGAGAGGTCTGAAAGGCCCTGGGGGGGGGAAATCTCTGTATTGTTTTTTGCATCTCCTTGTGTCTCTATAATTATTTCAAAATAAAAAGTTATGCTAGTTGGGGGAAAAGTTTTGCCAAGTGAAAGAAGCCAGACACAAAGGGGTCACTTATGTATATGAAATGTCCCGAACAGTTAAATCCCAAAGGCAAAAAGCAGAATGGTAGTTGCCAGGGGCTGAGGGAGTGAGGAAGGGGAGTATCAGCTAATGGGGACCCGGTCTCCTTTCGAGGTGATGGCAAGTTGTGGAACTAGAAGAGGTTGGTGGTTGTACAACACTGTGAATGTACTAAGTGCCGCTAAACTTTTCACTTTTAAATGGGTATTGTGTTATGTGAATTTCATCTCAATTAAGTTTTTAGGTGGGAAGGCTAACAAACAAGTCCCAATTACCCACCAAAACAAAGGTCTCTGGGCTGGGAGCAGCCGAGGTTCCTCACCCCCTCCCCCACCCACACTGACGGCCTAAAGGTGGGGGCCTGTCATGTGCTTCCCAGTCTTCAGTCCCTGAGCTCACCCCCCCAACTGCAACCCTCCCCACCTCAGCGCCACCCCTACCCCCTGCTCTGTGCCCAAGCATGCCTCCCATGCCCTATGCTTCAGAGACAAACACATGTACCACATGCCTGCCCAGCCCTGAGGCCAGAGTGGGATAGGGGCCCAGGGTAGGACCCAGGACTGAGGTCAGAGGGCACAGGCAACTGCTGAGCACAGAAAAGACAGCAGGCCCAGGCCCCATCCCTGGGGAGACAGCGAAGGAGTGTGGGCCCTACTGAGGAACACAGGGGCAGCCCTTCCTGCCCCACAGAGGGAAGGGGCTGGGAAAGGGCAACATGTTCTACTCTATGGATGGATGAAGTGAGGCCTGTGAGGTCACTGGCTCAAGGTCCATCAATGGCTGCAGGCAGGGAGTGTGGCCCCATGGCCTACAATGGACAGAGGACAAGGGCAGTGCAGGCACCCTGGCCTGGGGTGCATGCGATGACATTCCACTAGCCCAGGAGGCATTCTCACCCAGAGGCCTGAGATTCTGGCGCCCAGCCAACAGCAACTCGTGGCAGCACGAGGTGGCAGAGGGGCGTGGGGGGTGGCGAGGACAAGGGGCAAGACCACAGCCCACCTCGCAGGAGGGGACGAGCAGAAGCCACCCTGTGGTCTTCCCCAACCCAGAGAGGAGCACCCAGGGCCACTGGAGCAGCAGGGCCCCAGGACTTCACTGTCTTCGTGGAAATAAAAATGTTACTGATCAAGGTAGCAGTAGTAGAAAGAGGGGAGCGGTGTCTGAGCACCTGCTCCAAGCTAACGCCAGTGCCCAGAGCTGCCAGGGAGGCAAGGATCCAGGGGTCGGCCCTGTCTGGCGATGACAGAACAAGAGCATAGTTATGCAACCGTAAGAGAGACTCGGGACTTTGCACATGCTGTTCCAGCTGCTTAGAACACTCTCCCCCAGACCCCACAGGGCTCCTCCCCTATCTCCTCAGACCTTCAGATGACTTTGCAGCGAGGAGGCCCTTCCTGACCATCAGCTTAAAATATCAACCCCCCTGCCCTAGCTGGTTTGGCTCAGTGGATAGAGCGTCAGCCTGCAGACCTAAGGGTCCCAGGTTCGATTCCAGTCAAGGGCACATGCCAGGGTTGTGGGCTCAGCCCAACGTGCAGGAGGCAGCCAATCAATGATTCCCTCTCATCATTGATGTTTCTATCTCTCTCTTCCTCTCTGAAATAAATAAAAAAAAATTTAAAAAAAAATAAAATATCAACCCCCAGACATTTACCATCGACCTCCCACTGGGCTGTCAGCTGTTTCCCAGCACCCGGAACATAGCCCAGCATGGAGCTGTGCTCTGCAAACACCCGTGTAAGGCTCCTAAGCAACGACTCACCTACTTCCTGGCTGGGAGGCCCTGAAATTACCTGTTTCCTCATCTACAAAGTAGGCTGCCCCCACCTGCCATCTCACAGAGTTACTGCAAGATTTACAGAGATAATAACCACCAAAAAAAGTACATAAATACAGCCAGCCTAGAATTAAGTTTTATAAAGGATAAATATAATGCAGACCAATGCTAGTGAAATAGCACTGCCAGCTGCCCAGGGAGCCAGGCCTCTTGTCCCCAAATCCTGACCACGGACATCAAGGGGCCCATCTACAGGACATCAACGTCAGGGGGTTGGTGCAAAGATGCTTCATCCAGCTGCTGACAGTGAGCAGAACCCTAACAACAGTAAGACACGTGTGGGCATAAGAGGTGGGGCCTCTGCCGCAGTCCCTACTAGGGTCTTACTACAGTTCACCAGCGCTGGAGGCTGCCACATCTCTGCTGCCCCCTTGTGGCAGC